ACGAAGACGCAATTTATATGATGCTGCTTTCGTTGCGTCAATGAACCGATGGCAACGCCTGGTCCATTAAGACGCTGTCCGTTACGATTAGCGTGCATGCGATAGCCATGGAGTGCTCTCTACCTTTGACCACACATCGCAATGACGCTCGTGTAACCCGCCGCCAAGGCCAAAGCGGAAAAAACCGGATTCCGCATGAAAACGTTGCTTTTAATTGGTCGATACAAATCACCGCCCTGCCGAACTTCTGAATGAAATTACCACCGTTCGGGCAAGACATGTCACAGGTACGTTGACGACGGTTTTTGAGCGCTGTGCTGGCAAAAAAATACGCTTCCGGTACCAAACAGGTTGGCAGCGGGTACGACGCGGTTATATAAGCCTTGTGCGGTGGGTTTCGTTCATTGATCACGTCTGCGATCCCCCGTGTGCACCCACTGCCGCCGGCTGCCACCGTCGCGCCACGCCATGCAGCTACTCGCCAGGCTCGACCCGATCAGCGTCACGCTGTTCATTAGCTGCTTCGTCAAGTGGTCGTCCTGCATGGCATGGCTTTCGACCAGGTCATGGAGCAGACGAGATTCGATCACGTTCGAGCCGTTGCAAGGGCTTCCGCACAACGCGGGCCGTACGTTGCTAGGCCGACTCAAGAGAAGCTACAATCTGAGCTCGGCCACCTCCTCGAAATACTGGTATCAGTCGCTGCCCGTGGACGACAAAGCGGCCAGAATGCTGGTTGACGAACACAACAAGTACCGGAGAATGGTAATTGGTTTCCAAGTATTATTACTCTATAACTGAGTGTGTCATTCATTTCATACGTCTTGTTTTGCCCAGATTGACAGAGAGTTAATTAGGCGCACAGTCAGCATGCTTCTAGTGGCATGGGGAACCTCTAAAGCATGTCATGTTGTCGTGTTCAGTCAAACAACATGCTCGACGATCAGTTAACATACTTTGATCCGCAACCATGAGCATATATAAACAAAAATACGTTGTGGCGACTCTGCGCCTAGTAGCAAAGCCAAGTGTTTCGTAGAGTCATTTCCTTGGATTAAAATGATAATAATAACGCCATTCCCTAACTGCTGGAGGCTAAAGGACGTTATATCAAGTCACGACTTCAGTGCACTATATAACTTGCAGGTCGTGTGCTCGACCAGGTACAACTGAAATGTTTCTGTCTGTGAGCATATATAACCAAAAATACCTCAGAGAAATTCTCATAAACTGCCTCACTAAACTAGGCTACCTGATGAATGCCAAAGTGAATACCGAAGACTTAGTGATGGCATGGCATTGAGTACTATCTTGACTGCACCGTACTCGATCAGCAGAAAACCGAAGATCTGAGAAAACTCCATGAAGCCATCGTCATTAGGATCTGAAAGGAATAGAAAACTTTTAAAATCAATGAATAAATGAAAGCACGAACGAACAAATAAACCGCTTTACGAATGAATCGGTGAATGAATGTTACTACAAAACGGCACAATTACACACTTAAAACTAGTGTTCGTTTTAGAGATATTTTTTAGAAGTTTCGGTAGAAATATATAATTTCTTATGATATATAAGTATATAATTTAATAAAAACTTTCTTTCAATAGTTATAATGAATAGCAGTTCTTCGTCCGTATTCGCAGTCACTGTTTACATTAACGAATCGGACAATGTTACAATTCTGTGCTGCTTATGCTATCTATCGTATTGCAGCTCCCTCAATATGTTGGTGTGTACCATCACACGAATCGCGCGTTTAATCGATTTGCTCGCTCACGATTTATTTGTCATTTTGATCCGCTACTCTACCCACGTTGCTGGTAAGGTTTGAAGAATTGCTGTAAAACTTCTGTTCACTGCCAATCAGGGCTCCACTGTACGATTATGCCATACGTTCAGTGTTCTTTAACCATATGACGATCGGTGTGGTCTCATTGATGAGTTGTCATTTGAATTTAGGAAGCGTTTACGTTGAAAGAGTTTTCATAGTCAAACTATCGCACATATCACTTTGAGAAAACCGTAGATTAACGATGGTAGAATCGGGTTTCATGCAATCCTAGTAAAATACAGTCGCCAGCATTATGATGTAATTCTTTAGATACGAGCCAGCAACATGATGTTAATGACCTGGAGCAGATATTCAGCTTCAAACGCCCAGAAACACGCTGACCGTTGCCTGTTTCAACACAGTTCTGACCGATACAACAGCGGCGAGAACATCTGGGCTGCCCCCTTCGCAAACTTCTCAGGCGCCGTTAACCTTTGGTTCAACGAAATCTTCGACCGGCACTGCGGCTGCACCAACGCCTACAAGGCATGCTGTGGTCACTACACTCAGGTACTTTGAAGAAGTCCTAAACTGATCTCGTGGCATTAACCTGTAACAACGACCAAAAATTGACCATACAGTATGCCAAAATCAACGAAAATGCGAAATACGGCAGCTCATAATATTTCGTGCCATTAAGTATGCTATCTTCTCTTCAGAAAGATTAAAAGATAAACGGTAACATTTTGGTAACGTATAATGATATCCAGAATTTCCCAATCCAGACTATCCAAGTGCTTTTTTATGTTCTCATATAATCCGAACAGCCTTACCTGACCTCCAGATGTTTTCGTACATGATTCGCCTGTCTCTGTTCAGACGCTGAACTACATTATAAAAGATTACTACATGCTTTCTTTCGCAGTTAAAGCAAAGGATATTCATGAGACCTTTTATTAGGACTTGTGGTTAAGATGCCCTAATCGTAGAAAGAACTACACTGAACGTATAGGACGCTGTATCGATCCTCACTGCCAGAGCAGAACTGTAAGGCGATAAACTTATGTCGAGAAAGTGAGCGTATTAAGTAAACTGTATGCAAATACAAAACCCCATGAACATATGAAAGCATTTTTGCCTAAAGTCTACATTCTGCTTAGTTGTTACCACAGAACTTCGTATCTATCCTGGTTCACAAAGCAGTCCGCTAACAGGGCGATGCCAAACAAAGGCCGACATTTCTTTTCGTGTGACCCTGAAGAACAACCCTGTAGCTAAAGGATTTTGTGATTGATAATTCAATTTCAAGGACCTGCCATGTAAAGGCATGGAGATGGAGTGGGATCCAGTTTCGGTACGTTGAGCAGGTGGTGTTGCTTACAACTCAACAGTGATTTTCTTTTACCACCAGAACAAGAGCTCCACCTCTCTGAACCCGTTTGGTTTGATCAAGATTTTGGAGAGATCGGCAACAGTTCACGAGAGTTGGCACCTCGAATGTTTTGCAGAACGATCGCTTGCAATAAGCGTTTAAGGGATGACGGAAACCGCTAAATTGGTGCCACTTCGGTCTAAGCAACATCTACGACTGGGTCACTATAGCATTGATGAAAGGACCAGGAACGTCGCGTCTAGTTCAAAATGAAGCAGGAAAACCACCTCCATTTATTACCAGAGAGTCTATATTAAAAAATGCTTACGTTGTTCGAAAGACTCAATTAGAAGAAGATGACCTTTGGGGTTGTGTGTGAAATTGAACTGAATTCATTAGAACATGGAGAAATAATTAGTGATTTAAGGTTTGAACCACTGAACAGCAATCTGTTAAGATGTTACTTAGTGAAGTGTGAAGTGAAGCGCAGTAAATTTAAGCAAGTCCGTGACGCGCGTGAGTGACACCGGCTCGTAAAACTCACATAAGTAATTAGTGCTCATGCAATCGTCGAACTTCTGCCCTAAATTTTTCTGTCGAACCTGGGGTGTGCCATGCATCTTTATGATTTGTCGCCGTAGGCTACACTTAAAGTTTTCTCGCTAACTAACAGTTGCTAATTTTTTGCGAGCAAGTTTATGACACTAGAAAAAAAGAAAACGTTATAGGGTGTGTCAGACACCATGCAACGAGCGACTACTAACCCCATGGTAGAGAATTAAGTCACTCAAACAAGTCCACTCCATCGCATCAGGTCTCGAGGCGCAGCGATACGTCAGGGACCCTGCATAACTAAGGAAAAATGCTCAGAAAAAGCAGTCCTCCTAGAAACTGTTGCTTTTGCACTGCAAGTGGAAATGGATGGCGTTGGGGCTTCTTTCCATTTGTTGGCCGTGAAAAAATCAAAAGCTTCTTTATTCATTATTGCTGCATACGTTTCTTTCTCCAGCAGGTGGTCAAAGAATTTGCGAAGGGACGTTTAATTTCATCTTTACAGCATATCCCTCGAAATTTTATTTCTTTCAGTTCAATATGAAACCTGCCGGTGCGTGGCAAATTTCCTAATTTCAATAAAGCTTCGAGATTCAATTGCACTAAATTAACGCGTGCTTAAATAGCAATGATAGGTATCAGATGTTGTGGGTTTTGTCATGAGTTGGGAAACTGAACAGTTCAAGCGAGATTCGAGCTGAATGACGCGGTGAAAAACGATAAAGTGATTTCTGTTTCCATAAACATTAATGCACAATACTGGGCAAAATTATTTCAAAGGATTTTTTATGCTATGACCGTCCAAGCGACGTAAAGGATTAAATTTGTTCACCTTTACCTAGCATATATCATTCATCAACAATATTCAATCCATCTATTCAATTTTCTCACGGGTAGTCTTTTGGTCTGAGGTTAGACGGTATGAAGAACAGAATCAACTATCTTTCGTAGAGGATTGTTATAGAAGTTTCCTTGTTTCTATACAGTTTTGTGAATGTTCTTTGAACGTAGCATGGCTGGATATATGAAGGAGTTGTGCATTGCAGTAGACGTCACAATCCGTAATACTCTATGCCGTTAACGGTTAATCACAGACTGTTACAGTGTCATTATCTAAGATAAAATTCGTCCTAAAAACAGAAGTAATGATATGATCATATCTCTTATGTTTGTGCTGAAATATATCGTTTGTTTTCAAACTCTGAAATTCGTCCGTTCATTGAAGGAACTGTCACCCTTTCGCTGTCTGCTTATCATTGCCTTGTTAGCTAACCGCTTCTGGGCTAAACACAGGGTTGCATGGTAGAGAAAATAACCTGTAACGTATTTCACGTTGATCTCCATTGCTTGTTCTGGCCGTTGCTTGCTGTCCAGAGCAGGGGTAGGATTCTGAATTTGTATAGAGATGCCATCTGCTATTTGCTGGAGAATGGGATTATTATATGACATTGGAGACTGTGTGACATTTTTCTTATCATGTGCAGTGGCAGATCTAAACATCATTATGCGCTAAGAAGGATGAAACCATGGGATTCATTTTTGAGCACCAATTTTGTACAGGATTTTGCGCATCTTGGCCATGTAGGTGGCACGTTATATTTTCTCTAATTTTGACATGAGCCATTCATCAAGCATCGTCCAGATCTTTCGTCAGTACTGTGCATGAATCAACATTCTTCTATAACAATTTAGTGATAGATCGACCAATACTTTTGCCATATTTCCGGTCTATGTCCATTCTTAGATCGATCAATGTTATCGATTTAAAGATGTTTGACTATCTTTGATACTGCTGCTACTTTATGAGAACATTTTTTGGTATATGATAATTTTTCCATTCTGAGGCAAAGTTTCTCCTGACTGTCCTTCAGTTTTGCATGCAGTCACTTACCTTGGTTATTACTTGTTCTGTGTAAAGCGGACATACACGCAGAGTCTGTCAAGGGCTTGAATAAACACCGGCTTTATGCATGTTTTTTGAAATATAAGTATTTCTTAGGTTACAATGTCTTATTTGTCCAGATAAACAACAACCTATGCCTGGCAAGCTTATGAAGGCCGATGTTAAAAATTTCATGAACCAGAAGGAATTGCCAACTGACTAGGAGATGATCATGACTATTTCTAAAGATGCATTATCTTTATGCAGCACTGGTATCTGCATTTGAATTATGAAGCTAAATGCATGCGTTTATTGCTGAGTCGTTTATGTATACAAACCGTGACTTTCATTCATTTCCCCATTGATCAATTCATTCTTTCGTTAATTTTATCAATCATTCATTCCTTTGTTTGTTCATTCATTTTCAAAGCCCCCCTATTAATTTCCATTCTCGAGAAAGTTGTAGTTTTTTCAGAAGGCCTTTCCATTGGTCCCGGTTTGGCACCAACAGTCAGTGATTAAATTTGAATATTTTACTTGACGGCTAAAATCTTTAATGGTAAGTAGGCATTTATCATGCAACAGCTTTGCACTGACTTCGGCTTTCTGTTCGATCATGCAAACCCAGGGAGTGCAAAGGATCTGTTCAGCTTCTGATCATAGGATCGCTGACATGCCAACCTAAAACAAAATTCAGCACATGCAAAATGCGTATGGGCTTAAAAAAACATTGTGGAAAAGAAAGATAATTCTCCAAAAACGAAAGCAATTTTGCATACGGCTATATATTCTGAAACTTTGATATGTTTGTACAAATAAAATTTAAAGCAAGAATATGGCAGAGTGTTTATTTGCGCTCGGGGATTAATGATAGACAGACATTATTCCTAGTTCTCACCCAACATCCAAACTGGAAACCTTCAGATAAAATCACGAAAGCAGATTAGAATAGCACAGCTGTGGCGAATGCAAATCTTGGCATCCGTTCGAAGGAACAGAGACAAAAATGAGTCGAATAACTGACACGTAAAGTATGTCTGATTTTTGTCTTGATCACTCGAACGACTGAAGGACATTATTTTCTTTCCGTTCACAGGCGTCATTCATGGAACATCGTTCTGTTCTCCATCATTCTCATCACCAGAATCTTAATTGTAAAAAAATTGCGATAAAATGCTTTCTTCCTTTTTCAATTACGATCTTACCCCTTCATCGCTCTGACTGCGTTTATAGTCAGTGAAGTGGCAAATCTGACTTGAGACAGACGCACAATGGATTTTGTCAACACCGTTAGCTGACTGATGTGTACTGTAGCTGGCTCTCTGCGTGCGGATGCCGCAGCAAGTTGGAATTCAGGGAGCAATGTGTATTTAATAATTCTGCGGACCAAAGGATAACTTTTCGAACATACCACTAAAATGAGTCCGTCATCGAAGAGTTCATTGCACAGAAGCGTAGTATCTGGATTAATGCATCAAAAATGCCTAAGGTCGAATCCCTTTCATGTTATTTAAGCTCAAATGTCACACTTATGAGCCCGTTAGGTCTGAATTTCAAACCTTCGGCAAAAATAAACTATTTACACTTTTGGGTAGATTAACATCATTTCTGGGAGTTACGTCTGTATAACAGTGATGTATGTTTGGAGGACCTTTATATGCTCGAACATCATTTAAACGCCATATCTTATTGCAGCTGATATTAACTTTCTGAGATGAATCGGTCGACAGAATGTGGAATTCCGATACCGGAGACAAACTCGGTGAACAGCTG